ATGTGTCAATGAGTTAAAAGAGAATACTACAAGCATGTTCTTAATGCAATAAGATACATTTGTATTATATAGCATATGCCTGTGACTAGGGGAGAAAGCAACTTTTTTATAAACTTAAAGGAATTACTAAGTAAATTCTTTAATAATTTTATTTAGAAAATGATACATTATTTCAGAAATAACCAAGTAAACTCAATGTGTCTATAAATACTGTCTTGGTATTAAACCAGTTTTTATAAATCTCAAGCCAGTTTTGAGAGGAAGTCATGATTTTAAGCTCCCCCACCTCTTTCTCTGCATTTGTGTGTGTGTGTGTGTGTGTGTGTGTGTGTGTGTGTGTGTGTGTATGTATTATCAATAAGCAAGGCAATTGAAGTAAGATTAAGTTTTATATAGGTGGCATGTTCTGAAGTATGGAGGAGCTTACTTCTAAAGATCTTTGAATACCAGGAAAGAACAAACAAACACAGTTAATACTTGTGGCATTTCTAGAAAGATTACATTATCTTCTCAGCTGACGTGGGTAAGAGAGTGGGAGATATGAACCTTCAAGCATCAACACAGATGACAACATCACATAAAAGAGACCATTCATTTTTAGTACCTAAATGTTTCTCTTTAAAATAATTTACATCACTACATCTCTAGTTATAAAAAAGTTCTTTGTAGTATATATTTTAAAAACTTCCTACTAATAATTCTTTAAAATGTACTTACCCTGACCATACAAAACACAAAACTACGGAGAGAGTGCCTGTGAACAGAGCTGTCCTTTATACATAGCAAGCAACTGTCGCTGTGGTGTGGACTTTCTTAAAATATCTCTACCACCGCCTATCCTTGATGCCTGAAATTCTTTGACAGTTGGTGTCAGCCAGAAGCACCAGGAATCCTACAGTTCTCATTACTGTGATATTCTATCCTATGTTTTTAAATAGAACATTTGAATTCTTTACAATATGCCAGCACTGGAACATGTTTGAAGAATGGAGCTACGATATGTTAAAAAGGAAATTTAGAAAGAAAAGAGACAGTCAGGCTTGGTGGAGTATAGCTTTAATCTCCAGCACTTGGGAGACAGAGGCAGGTGGATCTCTGACTCAAGCCAGCTTTGTTGGTCTACATTCTGAGTTGCAGGCCAACAACAGCTACAGTGAGACCCTGTCTGAAAAACAAAGAAACAAAAAAATTCCCAGAAACCAAAACAACAACAACAACCAGGATCAGGCAGGAATATAGGTAATAAAACAAAGGTTTCAGGCTGAGGCAGAACAATGACTACAAGACAGAGGTCAGCATGGACACAGAGTGAGACCCTATGGGACAGGATAGGCAAGCTGGGTAGGTGAGGGGGTAGGATCAACAGTTGGCTAAAAAAATTGCTTCAGAAAAGAAGCCAAGGTGCCTAATAAAGTTCTTGGAACAAGTGAGGGCAAATCTTTCCTAGTCTGCACTATAATGTTTTATAATCACTCAGACATACAGACACACACACACACACACACGTTTTTTAAATTTCAACAAACACTAAGTGTAGAACATTTCAAAAGTACTACATGTATATAGCAATTGAAATAATCTCTAATTTCTTCATGTTATAAAACTATTGTATTAGTTTTGTGTGTGTATGAAAAACAAGCATATAACAAAATTTGGGTATATACTTTAATTTTTGATTATTTTTCCATTGCTTTAAAATCACATACTAAAAATTAGCAGTCTCTGTTTTTATTATAATATTTCGATTTAAAACCTTTTTTTACTGAAGATTATTTGAACAGTCTTTTAGAAAGCATATACAAGTCTCCAGGAAAGTTAATTTCAATGCTTTGAATTCAGAATTTGAAAGATTTAATCAAAACATTAAATTTAAAGTTAAAATTACAATGAAGTTGAGTATGGGCAAAGCTCTGGATTTCTGCTTTACAACACTGCTACACTACCTACACTACAATAGCGTGCACTCCTTTCTTAGTACTCATACTATGGGAGTGATAGTCTGCTGACTCTGAATTGCTTAAGTTCAGGTGGACTGTTGGAATCCTGGCCTAGGAAACAGACCTTTGATCTAATATCACTCAATAGGCCTTTGAAATTTGTTTTAAAACATATTCTGTTAGTGGTAAGGAGATGAAGACTTGATTTGATCCCAATACCCAGATGGAACATATATACACATGCACACACAAAGTAAACATGAAGTCATCTTACTTCCTGTTCCACCTTTCCACAACATGACTCTAACTATTTAACTGAGGTCTGGAGGGATTGGGGATGGAGCTCAACATTACAGTGTCTACGTAGCATGTGTAAGATCCTAGGTTCAATCTACAAGCAACACACAAAAGATAAATCGAAACAAAAAACCCCGAGTCTCTAGTGATGAGATTTCTGAGATATTCTTGAATCTAGGAAAAGGAACAGTTATTAATTCCTTTAATGGAGAATTTGGCAAAAGAGAATTATCAAAATGTGATTGTGGTAAGAAAAAAAATGTAGGAGACTGAAGAAAAATGTAAAGCTGTTCCTATCTATCCAACAGTATACATGGCGCTGGCTGGACTCAACTTTTAATTTAGGATTAAAGGAGTCTTTAGGAAACGGACTGCACAACGACAGCTTTCCGTAAGAAAAGTACAAGACTAAGATTAATTAATTAAAATGATTGAGTTAATTCTTATTAAGGACCTAGTGTGGTCTACAAGTCTACAGGCTTCAGATATTTATCTACTATATCTACCTAAATACAGATTAAAGAATACAAGATACTGGTAAGAATGCTGGAAATTACACTTAATTTAAGCTAGATAAGAAAATAAATACTGAGTCAATCCCTAGTACTGAGGGCAGTGAAAAAATAAAACCTACCTTGAGGATTCATATCTGTATTAACAGTGAAACTAAGATTCAAAGATAAGTCTGTTACTGTGGAAAGGCTATTTCTACAATGCCAACCTGGCTTAAATCTTAGACTTCATCTACTTCTCTTAAACAATTTTACAAGGCAATTTTACAAAGCAATCTATTTTCTATCAGTAGAACAGGAAGGTAATACCACATGAAAAAAGAATCTGCTACGTGGGTAAGGAGACATTTAGAGCAACAAAATGAAAAAAATTTAAACAATTATTAATCATTTTCAAAAACATAATATCTAAAATAGTCACATATTTCTGCAATACTCTAAAGAGTTACTTTTATTTTGGTAAAAGTTTCTATGATTTTTCTCTCAAAACATATTTGGCTCAATTATTGAAAAATTTCATACATATTACTAAAAATAATATATTTTAAATTTCAAAATAATCTTGTTGGAATCGATTAAAAGAAAAGGTGATGTTCCACTACAGTTCTGAAAGATTCTTCAGTCTCCTTTAGCTTCATTATTTTACTCTTACGGAAAACTGAATTCATTAACATGGTTTTTAAAACAGTGGAAAGATTTGTAGAATAATATAGCCAAGAAACAAACTGAAAGTACAATCTAATTAGTAAGGCCATACTATTGGTTTGGTAAAAATCAAAGATGCAGCCATGGAAATTGTGAATGTACGGGATGAAATTTTAACTGCTATTAATTTTGATTATGAAAAGGAATTACAACAGACTATTATTTCATACACTAACATGATCTAAGCTTTCTTCTTTACAAAAGCAAAAATATTCTAAATTATATAATTGACCTCCACCTAAGTCAATGAAGCATAAGAAAATCTCGATTTAGAAAACAGGTCTAATAGAAGTTTAGTTGCTTATTGAACACTGTCTCACAATAAGATATATTTAAATTTGAGTGTTTCAACATCCTAGCTCGAGAAAAGAAATTCTTAATGTTAACTTACAAATAATCAAATTTCTTCTCACACAAATCTACCCAAATGATCAGCTATGTTCTGAACAATTAACATTCCATTCACAGGAATGACTTGAAAACCAACATAAGACCTGGGTCGTGACAGAGAAACAAATATATGTTAACTGTATACTGTGAATCCAGTTCATTTCCAACATATTAAGGAAATTTTTTCAATCTCTCTCTCTCTCTCCCTCTCTCCCTCTCTCCCTCTCCCCTCTCCCCTCTCCCCCTCCCTCCCTCTCCCTCTGTAGAGGACAGTCATTTATCACAAAAGAGCTAGGGGGATTTAAAACCAAGTTCCATCAACCACAGGTCCCAAATTCCGATTTGGAGTATTAAGGCAAAACAGTGTTTGTCAATTTAGCCAGACCTTAGAAGTTGAATACATTTCTGCAAGACAACTTAGAGCTGTCTTGGTGCTCAGGAACCCCAGGAACACAGACCCTCCCTTTAGGAAAGGTGTGCGCGCGCTGCTGTTCAAAGCCTACAGTACCCCTAAGATGAAAGTTCATTTTCGTTTCGGTGTGAAAAACAATTCTATTCGAGAGAAAGATAGTCTCAATTTTCCTCTTAATGGAAGGCAGCCCCTGGGAATCCCTGCCACCTTCACGGAAACTAAGGTTTGTAGGCGAACTGAGACCCGGGTGAGGCATCCTAGGCGGTTCTATGGAAACGGGAGACGCGAGCGGCCTAGCGCCCGGAGCCCCGGCATCAGGCAGCGGCCTGAGCGCGCTGCGGAGGTCGCCAGGGACCTGTCTGCCTGGCGGGGCCGGGCAGGCCGAGGTCAGAGGGCCTGGCTACCGGAGCGGGCGCCAGCCCCGAGTTCACCTTGAAGGAACCAAGGTTGTGGAAAGCACGAGCGCCAAGCGCCTCCGCGGCCCAGCGAGGATAGCCGGAACGTCAGAGGCGCGGCCTGAGAAAGCGGTAAATGGCGTCTTCCGAGCTGAGGCGCTTTACCTTCCTGGCCGACAGACGCTCCTGGGCTGTTTTGTTCGTGCAGCGCTGCGGGTGGTGGCCGGAGGGGTGACGACCACCACCGTAGCACTCACTGCGGCAATAATCTGGGTTCTAGGAAATAATTTCCCGCCGCGCGCTTGGTGTCCCCGGAAGCAGTTTACTACTTCCGGGTGGTTGTCAGTGACGCTCTCGAGCGGTCGCCAGGGCTGTCTGAGATGTGGACAATTTGGTTCTGGCCTGTGCGTCAGGCCCTTGCAGGATTCGCGCCGCAGGCGGAGACTGGTAAGTGACTTTTCCCTCTCTTCTCGGCCTGGTGTTTTTGGCCAGCCAGCTACCTGCAGCGTGTTGGTGGAACCGAGAAGTGAGCAGACAGGAGTTGAGCCCCTAAAGACCCATCCATTCCTCTGCTGTCTGATCCTCCTTGAGACTGGCAAGGCCCTGGGATCCGGCTTACTGTCTTCATTTGCTTGACTTATCGCCAACAAAGAAGTCGATCTTGAGTCCCCAAGTGTTCCTAGTTTCTTTCACTTCGAATAATTCAGGACAATTTTGGGTGGAGATTTGGAGTTACCCAGAGGAGTTGTAAATAGGAATTGCTTCTGACAAATGTCTAGTTCAAGGAAAGATGCTCATTTATTCAAAGACCCAAAAGATGTTACTCTTTCTTGACTAATGCAGTTTTCTCAGGGGAGTTCACTAATCACCTTGTTATTCATTGATCACTTTTTTCCTGTTTCTCCAAATCAGTCAATCCCAAGAGAGGTCTAGAAACTACCATAAAGAAAAATACAATATTGGGGCTAGAGAGATGGTACAGTGATTAATAGAGCACTCTGCTCTTCCAGAGGTCACTCGTTCAATTCCCAGCACCCACATGGCAGCTCACAACTGGCTATAACTGTAGTAACATGGGATTCAATGACATCTTCTGGTGTGCAGGTATACATGCAGAAGAAACACCATATACATAAAATACACGCATGAACAAATCTTTTTAAAAAGAAAAATGCCATATATTCAATTAAAAGACCATGAAGCATCAGCCAAGTGCCCTTTTGCCTTTTGAGAATAAAACTATATTTAAGAAAGCATGATTTTTTTTAACTTATATCTTAAACAGCTATAGATACTTTCGTGGAGAGTTTATGTTCTTCTTTTTTTTTTTTTTGTATTTTAGAGACAGGGTTTCTCTGTGTAGCCCTGGCTGTCCTGGAACTCACTCTGTAGACCAGGCTGGCCTTGAACTCAGAAATCCGCCTGCCTCTGCCTCCCAAGTGCTGGGATTAAAGGCGTGCGCCACCACTGCCCGGTTGAGTTGATGTTCTTTACATATAGCAACTAGCTTTTTTTTTTTTTTAAATCACTGTTCTTATTTGTGACTCACATTCATATAGCACTTCATGAATGCTCATAAGTGTCTCTACCTTCTGCCTAGCAGTTTAAATTCACCATTTTAAATGCTTACAAAAGAAAAATCCTTTCTCTCTGCACACATTTTATATTGCAACTGAGAGGTCAAAACATATACATATAAAATTGTCTCGACTGAAGATTCCCGCCTTTCCGACTCTGAAACTTGGCTCATTACTCTATTCATTTGTCATGGTGACATGTGCTTGTACGTCCAGTGTTTAGAAGATGGGTGCAGGAGCATTAGGAGTTCAAAGTCACTAGGTCACATCTTAGATCCTCAGGACCAGTAAGAGCTATATCTTAACTTGTCTCAAAAACAGAACAAAACAAGACACAAAAGCAAACAACAAAACAGGCTGTAGAGATGGAAGCGTTCTTGTTTTTCATTTAGAATTCTGGAGTTGTTTCTCAGTACCCACATCTGATGGCTTGTAATGGTTCTATAACTTCAACATCAGGTGATCCAATGACTTCTTCTGGCTTTTATTGGTATCTGTACAAGGGATGAGTGTGAACTATCTCTCTGTGTGTGTCTCTATCTATCTCTCTGTCTCTCTGTCTCTCTCTGTTTCTCTCTCTCTCTCTCTCTCACACACACACACACACACATAGAGGGAGAGGGGAAGGGAGAGGGAGGGAGAGGGAGGGAGGGAGGGAGGGAGGGAGGGAGAGAGAGAGAGAGAGAGAGAGAGAGAGAGAGAGAGAGAGGGAATCTTTCAAAAAGAACACAGGTCAAAACTCATTCATCTCTGTCTTGCATACAATAATGTATCACATTAGAAGTCAATCAATGAGTACTTTAACATAATTAAACATAGTAAACTTTGGTGATTACAAGATTTAAAGGCTATGTTCATTGACCTATGTAATTTTCAGCTGTGAATAATATAGATTCTGATCATTGGCCAATTTTCTTGTTTAAACCCAAAGGTAAATGCATGCTAGAGGACCAGCTAACTCTAAAAGCAACTATTGAGACCCACATTTGTCTATATTTACATATAAATGTCAACTATTTCTGGTTGCCTTCTGTCTCCTCTGCAATGTGGTCTTCAGTCCTCACAGTACTAGGGGTATTATGCTTCTTATACAGATGATAAAGCTGAGGCAGGAGTAGCTTTGTACATTGTCCAAGTTCATATTCAGTTAATAAGTACCAGAGCTATGATTTGAACCAATGTATCTCCAGGCTGTAATCTTAACAAAATTGTCATATCACCTCCAGTTAGGTTTTAGCCCTGGCAAAGCTCTGATGCATATGTTTTGTTAGCTACAAAGCGTAATCTAGGATAGCTGTACTTTCAGATTTGAATGAGTAAGTTTATTATTTGTCAACCTAAAGTAAAAGAATATATAGTAAGAGATAGATGTGTAGCAAAATAACATCAGACTAAGTCCTCAAAACATCTAGGCAAAACTGACTGTGAAAGGCCCTTTAAGGCAGTCAGCTGGAGTTCCTGGTCCCCACTCCTTGTGTAAGTCTTCTAAGTAAAGCAACAAATAGTAGCAGATAGAGATAACATCAGCAAAGTGAGTCCTCACAGCATGTAGTGGAACCAACTGGAGAAGACAAGGCCATCAGCTAGATTTTCCCAGGATGAGCTTTCCAGGGCTAAAATTCTGGCTTCTCTTTCCCACTGTTCATGAAAGAAACAACAATAACATCTTTTGAAACTGGGAAAGGGGATAACATTTGAAATGTAAATAAATAAAATAACCAATAAAAAAAAGAAAAAAGTTTGCCTTCTAGCTGTTTTTAAAGGTACCATGTTATGTATGGGCCAAAAGCTAAGGGCTCATATTCAATGAGCTCAAATAGCACATGACAGTTTGCCAATATAATGTATATTATAGTATATAAAGATATTTTACCCCCTCATTGGATAGATAATATATTACTTGATAGCAGTTGTAGTATACTAGAAAACCTTGGTCAGTGGATCTTTGTGTGTACTGTGTCATCCCCAGGGAACAATATGGACTCATGCTTTTGTAGTGAAATAGACAAGATTCCAGTTTTGGCATTTTGGATTTTAATTATGATTCTTTTTATTCTTTTAAATCAGCATCTACACAAGCAGTCAGGGGACCTTTGTGAGCTTCTGCTTCCTCATGGTGGGTCCACAGGAATACTACAAAAATCATGTAAGTTGTCTATCTAAAGGCTCGCTCAGCCTGACTCACAGTTGACATTCAAACAATACAGACTTCTATATTCTCCCTTAGTCTTTTAGATATTTAAGATTGATGCAGGTGCTGGAGAGATGGCTCTTTCAGAGGACCTGAGCTTGGTTTCCAGCAGCCTCATTGTGGTTTAGAACCAACTGTAACACATTCAAGGGGATTCCACATCTGTTTCTGAGCTCTGCAGGCATCAGGCACTCATGTGACTCACATACATACATGCAAACAACACACTCCATATACATATCATACAAGTGCTTAAAATCTTTAAAAGAATATTGATGGAGATAACTGCGCATTGTCAATTAGATAAGGATGAAGAATCTCCTTCCTTATAGTATACTATGAAATGAAGTCATATATAGAAATAGTTATTACAGATGTCATTTACAAACATTTCTACTGAAAACCATGGCAGTGGCATGCTGAGTAAAGAATTTGCTTCCTGGGTACAGAAGAAAGTCTTGATGGAGAAAGCTAAGGAGTAGTGTGGGCTTAGTGAGGATTCTGCAAGGGGAAAGAAGGAAAGAGTAGAGAAAGGAGAACAGTTATAAGTCATTTGGATACTTATGACAGTGAAGGCTAGCGGAAGCAGAGGTGCAGTTTAAGGTCAGTTGTAGACACAGTGTGTGTACGTTTAAAGATATTAGGCTTTTCACTATATACATTGATTTGTGTGTGTGACCAAAGGCTGTGCAGGGTTGAATTGGCACGTATTTTCCTTTATTCGTTTTCCTTCTCTCTTGAAGGTTAATTTCTCACAGCAATGTTTGCATACACAAATAAGCCAAAAAGAAGGAAATGAAAACCTGTTCTTTAACCCCACTCAGGGATACCTACTCATCATATTTTCTACATCATTTCAGGTTTATGTGTGTGTGTGCTTTAAAAATAAAAGTATTTAATATTCAACAGTTTGTCTTGTGACCTACTTGTTTCCTTATTCTGTGATCTTCCTATGTTAATGACTTTGTTACTATATGATATTCCATGAATTTCCTATATTAATGACTTTGTTACTGTATGATGAACTTTAGGGCTTGCATACTACTTAGTCTCAGGAAGGTGTCATCACTTAGATATAGACGCCCTACTGCTAAGTGACAGTAAAATAGATATTTTGAAGTATAAAATAATTTTTTGTAATAAAACCTTTTGTCTTTTATATTTACTCACTTGTAACATTAAATAAGGAGAAATAATGACATTGGTCATGTGTACATATAGTATGACTAATATAATTGTTAGACTTCGGCAGCCGCTTGGAACAGACAACACCAGACCAAACGGTTCCAAAGGGGAGGGGGTTTATTCAGGGCGGAGGGCAAAGGTGGGGAGAGAAGTGGGAGAAGATGGTGGAGAAAGAGGAGAGACAGAGGAGAGAAGTGGAGGCCGGCCATGACCACGTGGAGAGAGGGGGAAGGGAAGGGAAGGGGAGAAGGGAGGAAGGGCGAGGGGACAGAGAGAAGCTAGAGGCAAGAGAGTAAGAGAGTAAGAGAGAGAGGAAGAGGCAAGCAGCCCCTTTTATAGCAGACACGCCTACCTGGCTGTTGCCAGGTAACTGTGGGGGGGAGCATACCTGGGTGTTACCAGATAACTGTGGAGGTGGAGTTTAGACAGAATACTAACAATAATAGTATTAAATTGTTAATTTTTACTAATTATTTTTAAATTTTAAAAGTCAC